CTTTAAAAATACGCTGGAAAAGGGCAGGATAAAGTACAAGATAAAGGCTATCCTGTTAAATAGCACAGGATATTCTGTTAAAAAGGGACATGATATTCTGTTAAAAAGGACAGGATACCCTGTTAAAAAGGACAGGATACCTCTGTTAAAAAGGACAGGATACCTCTGTTAAAAAGAACAGGATATCCTGTTAAAAATGACGAAATATCCTGCAAAAAAAGGACACTAGGATATGGACGATGGCGTCTGGAAGGTCTTATACTGAACACAGTATAAAACTGAGTGACAAAATGAGGACATCTACGGAACACTTAAAATACGTTCAGTAAGCAATCTGCTGCTGATCTCAGTCTGATTTCTTTTTTGTTGCGTTAACTTTCGGGGAACCCAAACGCATCAGGTATTCTGCGTCTGTTCCCGTCCAGCTCCTGTGGAGAGTGGGGGAGATGGACAGGGGGGGGGGATGGACAGGGGGGGCTAGGTTGGTCAGGGGGCTTTACCTCGAAATAAATTCCCTGACCTGAGTCTTGTGGAGCTGTGTACAACACACACCGGTTAAAATTTTACAGTAGATTGTGTTTTGCGAGTGTGCTGGTGGTGTTAGATGTTATATTTGTGTTCCTTTTTGTTAGTGTCTCTTTAGGACTGACAACTGTGTGTGTGTGTATATATATATATATATATATATATATATATATATATATATATATATATATATATATATATATATATATATATATATATATATATATATATATATATAATGACAGTTTTTTATTATTATTATTTTGTATGACAGACGTGGCCACACGTCTGTGGTAGACATTATATGTGTCATATAATGTCATTAATCATTGTCAGTCATTTCTGAACACCAGCTTTCATCATCAATTGACTTTAACATTTATAAATAAAATGATGCTCATTGATCACTGTTCTGTAGTACTTAAGAACTTGAGAACATTGGAACGAAGGAAACAGAAGTTCGAAGACCTATTGACCCATAGAAGGCAGCTCCTAGTTACATCCACCCAAACTACTTGTTCCTAACAAGGTTGATTATGACTAAATGAAAGCTAGTTTCCCCAAGTAATTACATAGATTGTTAACAGAAAGTCTTCTGCTTACAGGGGGGGGGGGGGGAATCTATGTAGCATGGAACTTAGCCGTTTGGGCTTTTTTGTCCGATCTAATCTGGATGCTGTATGTTCTCAATATAAGTGAGGTCATGAAGTTCCACAGGTGTCACCAAGGTGCTCTGGTATAATTCCTTTTAAAGGATCACAAGATGCGTAAAAGAATAGGAGGACTCGCAAAATAATCTGCGAGGCTGTGCGGACACAAAGGCCACCAAATCTGACAGGAATAGTAACTCGTGTCCACTGTGATTTATGAAGAGAAATACTTTTTCTAGCATGGAAGGGTGTCTTAATGTTGTGCTGCTGTGGGATAGAGAATTATACATTATAATACAGCTTTATATATTCAATTCTAAATATGTATGAACAGTATGTATGCATGAAATTCTGAAGCACTTATCATACATCATTAACACAAAGATTCATATAGCAATGCATTTTATGAAGATATTCTATACATTCAAAATTGCCATGAGCACCATACATGCTGTAACATAGCATCATAGATTCTTGCGTAATTATTGCATAAGGTAAACTGTGTTGTTATTGATGCAGTTTAATAATGCCACTCCTGTCTGTTCTCCCACAGGTGAGTGATCTGGAGAGGTGACTGGCGTCTGAGCAGTTGGTGAGTGTCTTCTGTACTCTTTCCTCTTGATATGTTTCTCATTCCTTACTCTCTTTCCGTCTCTCTCTCTCTCTCTCTCTCTCTCTCTCTCTCTCTCTCTCTCTCTCTCTCTCTCTCTCTCTCTCTCTCTCTCTCTCTCTCTCCATCATCTCTGTGAAATAACCTGAGAAAATAAATCGTGAAATTCACATCTATTCATCATCATCTAGAGCTGGACCTCGCTCCCTGGCAGTCACTATTAGGTAAGCAGTACCCTGAGCTCCCCTGAACCACCAACACCATCCTGATCCTCCTCCTGATCCTACTCCTGATCCTACTCCTGATCCTCCAGCCCCGCCCAATCCTTCAGCACCCAGGCCTGCGCTGGAGATCCCGACATAAACAAGAGAGACAAAGAAACGCATTAGTACCCCCCTTGAGTCTATTAGAACGAATTACGCCTCGTATATCGTCCAGATATGAAGGAAAATGGAGTAATGCGATAGTTGTGTGGGTTCATTACATGTCTGTGCTTAGCTGTCTGGTGTGTATTAAGTTGTGGGTGTTGGGAAGAGGCATAGGGGATGAGGTAGGGCGGGGAGGAGTGGGAGGTAAGGGGGTTTATAGGGAGGGTAATGGGTGTTCTGTGCCTGAGTGGGTATGGGGAGGAATGGGGTTGGGGCAGGAGCTGTGTATGGGTATAGGACGGAAAGGCTATTGATGTTATAAATGGGGCATCAACACATATTTAGAGCAATGAATGATTTTTATATTAATCTCTTTTTACAAAAAAGAATGAAGCACAACGCACTCCATTTGAGGCTTTTTTCCACCTACCGTTTGTTTATCTTTTGTATAAACAAAATATAGGGGTATATAAGCTGAAAACTGATGTAAACAAACTCAAGTGCGTTCGTAAATAAAATCCAGGAAGGTACTGAACAGCTTCGAATGCTCAGGAAAGGATTGTAAACAGTGTCTTTTTTTTGCAGACGAGGAGTCACAATAACGTGGCTGAAATATGTTGACCAAACCACACACTAGAAAGTGAAGGGACGACGACGTTTCGGTCCGTCCTGGACCATTCTCAAGTCGACTGTAATGCACAATCGACTTGAGAATGGTCCAGGACGGACCGAAACGTCGTCGTCCCTTCACTTTCCAGTGTGTGGTTTGGTCAAGAGTGTCTTTTTTGTCCCCGTACAATCGTTCTTGATCCCATTGTCTATTCGTACATGAAACTGTGTAACAAGATTGTCATGACTGTAACTGAACTAAATGAATTGTGGTGTTCAATTCCTGATTCAGTTCAATTTAATTATGTGCCTCTGTAACCTCAGTGGACCCCATACTCACGGGATGGGTATGGGGTCCACTAACGCCCTCAGGATGAGTATGGGGTCCACTAACGCCCTCAGGATGAGTATGGGGTCCACTAACTCCCACAGGATGTGTATGGGTCCATTAACTCCCAAAGGATGTGTATGGGGTCCACTAACGCCCACAGGATGAGTATGGGGCCCATTACCACCCACAGGATGGGTATGGGGTCCACTAAAGCCCACAGGATGGGTATGGGGTCCACTAAAGCCCACAGGATGGGTATGGGGTCCATTACCACCCACAGGATGGGTATGGGGTCCATTACCACCCACAGGATGAGTATGGGGTCCACTAAAGCCCACAGGATGAGTATGGGGTCCACTAACGCCCACAGGATGAGTATGGGGTCCATTACCACCCACAGGATGGGTATGGGGTCCACTAACTCCCACAGGCTGGGTATAGGTGTGCCTAATAATAAAAATAATTAGTTTGGTCGGGGACAGAAAGCCTGAGTATATGCATACCTCAGGCTTGTATCTAAGTTCCCCCCCTTCCCTTAAGTCTAATTACTGCCCTTCTCTAGAATACATCCCCAGAAAAGGTGCCAAACTCCATGATACCTATTTACTGCTAGGTGAACAGAGACATTAGGTGAACGGAAACGTGGCCCAACCATTGATCTGTCCCATCCGGAAATCGAGTTCAGGATCCTCGATTGCGAATCGAGAACGAAGCCAACTGTACCAAAGAGACCCTACTGATGAATGAAGTATAGTATAGTATAATGAGTTCACGGTGTACGGATGTAAAGGTTTCGCACGGCGACATCTATAGAGGGTCGAGTTTGACCCAGAACACCGCATGGTGGCGTGTTTGGTGTAGACAACATGGCTCTGTGTTTACCTACGGGTGTGATGGTCTACGTTTATGTTGAGTCTCTCGTCTCCGCGCCGGGTGAAGCGGGCCTTTAAGATCTGACAAAAATAAAACAAAAAATGATGTACCCATCCCCTCAGCGTCCTCGTTAATCTTTTAAACTTACCTAACCCAACTCAAACCTAACCCAACCCTACCCTAACTCAATCATAACCCAACCCTACCCTAACTCAATCCTAACCCAACCCTACCCTAACTCAAACCTAACCCAACCCTAACCTAACTCAAACCTAACCCAACCCTACCCTAACTCAATCCTAACCCAACGCTACCCTAACTCAATCCTAACCCAACCCTACCCTAACTCAAACCTAACCCAACCCTACCCTAACTCAATCCTAACCCAACCCTACCCTAACTCAATCCTAACCCAACCCTACCCTAACTCAATCCTAACTCAATCCTAACCCAATCCTAACCCAATCCTAAACCCATCGACCTTACTAAGACATTCAGGCAGTGTATTTTGAAGGACCTTACTAAGACCTTATGTCATGCCGAAGAGACCTCGGACCTTCAGGCAGCTGTAGGGTCTTTAAGGACCTTACTAAGACCTTATGTTTCATGCCGGAAGAGACCTCGGACCTTCAGGCAGCTGTAGGGTCTTTAAGGACCTTACTAAGACCTTATGTTTCATGCCGGAAGAGACCTCGGACCTTCAGGCAGCTGTAGGGTCTTTAAGGACCTTACTAAGACCTTATGTTTCATGCCGGAAGAGACCTCGGACCTTCAGGCAGCTGTAGGGTCTTTGGACTGAAGTTTTGGTTCGTTTTTGCATAAAGTATATTTGAACGACGCCAAAAAATCTAAAATTCGGTGATTCTTGTAGTGTTATAAAAAGTCGCGGCTCAGATATATTCACGTTTTCTATGTATCGGTAGGTAAGGTTGGGTGGGGTGCTTGGGTTTGTACGATTTTGGTTAGGTTACACATTGTATTTTGTACGTTGTGGCAACTTGAGAGAACAGGTACTCAGAGGCGCCATCACTTGCCTGACACAAGTGTGTACATCTTAGATACAAAAGATAATCCACTATCGATGTACGGAATATTAATTAAGCGAATGAGCGTATATACTTCTATATACTTCCATATACGCCTCGTTACCTGCCGTATATACTCCATAAGAGTCACGGAATATGTGTACGGACCTCAAGGCATATATGTGTGTGTGTGTGTCCTCAACTTTAAAAATGTTTGATACGCTTTTGTTTCTGTAACATCGTGTCGAGTGTCCGTCACCTTGTTTGCCTTCCTGTGTAAACAAGACTCGTTGATGTAAACAAACCATTACGACGACAAAAGCCATACCGCCCTCAGGAGCTGCTGTACCCGCGCTAGAAGGGTGGACACCTTCTGGGTGATGCTCCTGCTGGTGCTTCAGGAGGTCCTCCTCCTGCTGGTGCTTCAAGAGGTCCTCCTCATGTCGGTGCTTCAGGAGGTCCTCCTCCTGTCGGTGCTTCAAGAGGTTCTCCTCCTGTCGGTGCTTCAGGAGGTCCTCCTCCTGTCTGTGCTTCAGGAGGTTCTTCTCCTGTCGGTGCTTCAGGAGGTCCTCCTCCTGTCTGTGCTTCGGCAGGTCCTTCTCCTGTCGGTGCTTCAAGAGGTCCTCCTCCTGTCGGTGCTTCAGGAGGTCCTCCTCCTGTCGGTGCTTCAGGAGGTCCTCCTCCTGTCGGTGCTTCAAGAGGTCCTCCTCCTGTCTGTGCTTCAGGAGGTTCTTCTCCTGTCGGTGCTTCAGGAGGTCCTCCTCCTGTCTGTGCTTCGGGAGGTCCTTCTCCTGTCGGTGCTTCAAGAGGTCCTCCTCCTGTCGGTGCTTCAGGAGGTCCTCCTGTCGGTGCTTCAGGAGGTCCTCCTGTCGGTGCTTCAGGAGGTCCTCCTCCTGTCGGTGCTTCAGGAGGTCCTCCTCCTGTCGGTGCTTCAAGAGGTCCTCCTCCTGTCTGTGCTTCAGGAGGTCCTCCTCCTGTCGGTGCTTCAGGAGGTCCTCCTCCTGTCGGTGCTTCAAGAGGTCCTCCTCCTGTCTGTGCTTCAGGAGGTTCTTCTCCTGTCGGTGCTTCAGGAGGTCCTTCTCCTGTCGGTGCTTCAGGAGGTCCTCCTCCTGTCTGTGCTTCGGGAGGTCCTTCTCCTGTCGGTGCTTCAAGAGGTCCTCCTCCTGTCGGTGCTTCAGGAGGTCCTCCTCCTGTCGGTGCTTCAGGAGGTCCTCCTCCTGTCGGTGCTTCAGGAGGTCCTCCTCCTGTCGGTGCTTCAGGAGGTCCTCCTCCTGTCGGTGCTTCAGGAGGTCTTCCTCCTGTCTGTGCTTCAGGAGGTTCTTCTCCTGTCGGTGCTTCAGGAGGTCCTCCTCCTGTCGGTGCTTCAGGAGGTCCTCCTCCTGTCGGTGCTTCAGGAGGTCCTCCTCCTGTCGGTGCTTCAAGAGGTCCTCCTCCTGTCGGTGCTTCAGGAGGTCCTCCTGTCGGTGCTTCAGGAGGTCCTCCTCCTGTCGGTGCTTCAGGAGGTCCTCCTCCTGTCGGTGCTTCAGGAGGTCCTCCTCCTGTCGGTGCTTCAAGAGGTCCTCCTCCTGTCTGTGCTTCAGGAGGTCCTCCTCCTGTCGGTGCTTCAGGAGGTCCTCCTCCTGTCGGTGCTTCAAGAGGTCCTCCTCCTGTCTGTGCTTCAGGAGGTTCTTCTCCTGTCGGTGCTTCAGGAGGTCCTTCTCCTGTCGGTGCTTCAGGAGGTCCTCCTCCTGTCGGTGCTTCGGGAGGTCCTTCTCCTGTCGGTGCTTCAAGAGGTCCTCCTCCTGTCGGTGCTTCAGGAGGTTCTCCTCCTGTCGGTGCTTCAGGAGGTCCTCCTCCTGTCGGTGCTTCAGGAGGTCCTCCTCCTGTCGGTGCTTCAGGAGGTCCTCCTCCTGTCGGTGCTTCAGGAGGTCCTCCTCCTGTCTGTGCTTCAGGAGGTTCTTCTCCTGTCGGTGCTTCAGGAGGTCCTCCTCCTGTCGGTGCTTCAGGAGGTCCTCCTCCTGTCTGTGCTTCAGGAGGTCCTTCTCATGTCGGTGCTTCAGGAGGTCCTCCTCCTGTCGGTGCTTCAGGAGGTCCTCCTCCTGTCGGTGCTTCAGGAGGTCCTCCTCCTGTCGGTGCTTCAGGAGGTCCTCCTCCTGTCGGTGCTTCAGGAGGTCCTCCTCCTGTCGGTGCTTCAGGAGGTCCTCCTCATGTCGGTGCTTCAAGAGGTCCTCTTCCTGTCTGTGCTTCAGGAGGTCCTCCTCCTGTCGGTGCTTCAGGAGGTCCTCCTCCTGTCGGTGCTTCAGGAGGTCCTCCTCCTGTCGGTGCTTCAGGAGGTCCTCCTCATGTCGGTGCTTCAGGAGGTCCTCCTCCTGTCGGTGCTTCAAGAGGTCCTCCTCCTGTCGGTGCTTCAGGAGGTCCTCCTCCTGTCGGTGCTTCAGGAGGTCCTCCTCATGTCGGTGCTTCAGGAGGTCCTCCTCCTGTCTGTGCTTCAAGAGGTCCTCCTCCTGTCGGTGCTTCAGGAGGTCCTTCTCCTGTCGGTGCTTCAAGAGGTTCTTCTCCTGCTGGGGTTGGTGTCTATAATGCTGTAGTTTTGGTCTAGTGCTGTTGTTTTGATGGTACTTTCTATAAAAGTAACGCTGCTGCTTCTGCTTCCGCTGCTGCTGCTGCTGCTGCTCCTCCTGCTCCTCCTGCTCCTCCTCCTGCTCCTGCTGCTGCTCCTCCTCCTGCTCCTCCTGCTCCTCCTCCTGCTCCTGCTGCTGCTTCTGTTTAAAAACCTTCTCGTTTTATATACAAATTAAGTTATTTCTACGGTTTCCTAGTTTTAAAGACGGAATAAATAAATTAAAATAGTAAAGTCGACCATTAAATTTGTATATGTATTTATTTTGAGAGAAACGCATAAATTTTTTTAAATTATTTTTTTTTTTACTTGCTCCGAAAACTAGATTTGGTTCAGGTTGGAAAACCAGGCAGGAGTTGGTTTTAATATTTATCATAAATTTTGTATTTTGTGTATATGTACTCGTCGGGAAAGATACATAATTAATTAGATATGGAAAATAAATTATTATTATTATTATTCTTATTATTTTCTACCACAGACGTGGCCACACATTTACAATGCTAACCAGCATATATACATTTTCTTCTGTCCTCCATGGACAGGGTGAGAGATTTGTTAAACATAGTGTCCAGGGATTTATTGAACAATCAACTACAGAAAGTGATTGTAGTCCTTTTAAAATGCTAATCTAACCTACAGACATAGATACACATATACACATACACACACATATCGATACACATAGATACACAGAGTTACATCTGCCCTACATGAAGTGTTCGATGTGTCTTTTACATAGCGTCATTAATGTGCATTTACAAGGGATGGAAAATATTGAAGGAACAGGTTCCAAATCAGCACACGGAAATAACACTACATGAGACCAGGAGACATGGCAGGAAGTGCAAAATAACTCCCATTGAAAAGTAGAGGTGCAGCTGCGCTGAGATAGAACTCTTATCAACTTCAAGGGGTCCGAGATCTTGTCCGGCTTCTCACGGTGTTCAAGAAAGAACTTGATAAACACCTCCAAAGGATACCTTTGATGCAAACAGCTGCTTTCAATAGTCTAGGTAACCGGACGACCAACCAGGATGCCTGGTCAGAGACCGAGCCCCTGGGGCATTGATCCCCGGAAGCAACAACAGGTAGATCCGTAGGTAGTGTAATGTGTCGTTAAGGTGCCAGAGAGGATCTTATCACTAACCCTTGTCTTCATGGCCTGTATTCCAAGGTGGTTTTTCTCCAGATATTCCTCCTGAAACTCTCTCTCTCTCTCTTCTCTTTCTCTTCTCTCTCTCTCTCTCTCTCTCTCTCTCTCTCTCTCTCTCTCTCTCTCTCTCTCTCTCTCTCTCTCTCTCTCTCTCTCTCTCTCTCTCTCTCTCTCTCTCAAGTGGTCAGTGTGTCCACTTACATACATAATGTATTAAACACAACTTTTAAGAATTGTTCGATACAGTCTCCCTTGTCTTCAGGACATTTACTTGTCCCCGAAATACACTACAACAGCAACACAGACTTCTCTTGCGAACCGTGTCTCTGTAGCCTCCTTCTTCTCTTCCTCCTCCTCCTTCTCTTCCTCCTCCTCCTTCTCTTCCTCCTCCGCCTGAAAGCTGTACAGAGACATTAGCTTCTCTAGCGGGTAAAAGTAGCTAGGATCTAGATCTGTACTAACACCCAGGTACCTATTTTACTGCTAGGTAAAATAGGTACCTGGGTGTTAGTCAGCTGTCACGGGTTGCTTCCTGGGGGTGGAGGCCTGGTCGAGGACCGGGCCGCGGGGCCACTAAAGCCCCGAAATCATCTCAAGATAACCTCAAGATAGCCTTGCAACACAGATCTAGATCCTAGCTACTTTTACCCCCTAGAGAAAAGGCAAGGTAAAGTAACAGATTTATAGATGTGCTCGGGGCCCTTAGTCATGAATGGACTGTAGTATATAATATCTATAATATTTGTTTTACAATTTTTGTATATACATTCAAGTTTATCGAAGCACAAACAAAAATAGTTGCGACATTTATTTTCGCGGTCGTTCGCTTGAACGCCAAAATATTCATTGTCAATAAAGTGTTGAGAACACGAGTAATAAAGGTGCAAAGAATATTCTCCAAACTTGGTTACTGGTCTTGCCCTCTTGTGCGAGGTGTCAACAGTCTTTATTGTGTTTATTTTCCATCTTGGAGCGTGATCGGGTTTCTGTCTTGTGATGGTGACGTGTGGATCTTCTCGTCTATGGTGGTTTGCGAGGCGTTTTTTTCTTATTTCCATCTTTACGCTAATCACATGTTTTTATGACGTGGGGTAGAACAAGGAAGCTCTCACTTGCAGATTGGTCAAGTTATTGAGGTAGTCAGTCAGTCAGTCAGTCAGTCAGTCAGTCAGTGGGAGACAGGCATTCATCTCGTTTGCCAGTCAAAAGTTAATTCATTAATAAAGTGTATTTGAGAAACGGAAAAGTGGTATAACCTAGTTAGTGAAACCAGACATAATTAGGTAAAAACCAGTAAAACTATTTAATGCCAGATAAAAACCAGGTAAAACCAGGTAAAAAAAATGAACTGAAGGAGGTCGGATTAGGGCAAATAGCCGCTAATAATAATAATTTTTCTTTTAGTATTGGCTTCAAATTAACTTTATTGAAATTGCTAAGTTACTCTTAAAGTTCAGAATTAAACCCATAAATTTTTGGCAGACCAATGTAAGAAATATTTGAGATTTTTACTAAAGTCATCAAGAGACTACTCTATGTATTACTGTACATACTGTATGTATACTCTCTGTATGTATGTACGATACTGTATGTATCTCTCAATGTATTATACATATTTTACGCAATGTGATTATTGCATCTCACACAATACGCCCCTGAATAGTGGTCAGAGGAGATGAAATACCAAATTACAGACTATATAATCCTCACTATTCAAAAATAATAGAAAGGAGAGATGGCACTAGACCTATATAATTACTCAGCACTACTGCGTGGACCCGCCAAACACACACCGAAACTACGACGTTGGTACAACGTTCGAACAAATTTTAACACCTCCTAACCAGTTATAAGAACCAATATAGCAAGTTGTAACAACGTTTTAATACGTCAAAAACACGTTAAGCCAAGACGTAACAACTTTATTACAAGTTGTAACAAGCGGAAAATAGACACAGTTACGGTTTGTGTTTCCAGGGGAGGCCTCTCGAGTCCCTCTGATACCAGAAACACACCAAGAACTGCAGACCTCTGAACCAGCTCCAAGAGACGCCTGGATTGTGTTTCATTTAAGTAGTGTAAAATTTGACATGGAGGGATACCTTGAGGTTGCTTTCCCTTGAGCTGTCTCAGAGGCTCAAATTCCTCACGGTTCGCAATGCTTTTGGTAGGTCTTCCAGCACGTTTCATACTATAATGAAACTCGTTCTATACTGAGACCCATTCATAATTATCAACCCCAGGGGACCCATTCATAATTATTAACCCAGGGGTCCCATTCATAATTATCAACTCAGGGGACCCATTCATAATTATATTAACCCATTGGTCCCAATCATAATTATCAATTCAGGGGACCCATTCATGATTATATTAACCCAGGGGACCCATTCATAATTATCAACCCAGGGGGGACCCATTCATAATTTGCATCCCTCACCAAATATGTTCTTTAAGATAAAAAGTACAAAAATATACAACACATCCACGCCCCTTTCCTCTTTCCCCTGTCATACAAGTATATTCAAACATACATTTAATATTTATTTATGCAACATTCCACGTAAAGAACTTAAAAGTAAACAAAAAATATTAGAACCCTTTTTCTACACGCGAAATATTATATTATTGTTGGTCTTGCGGGAGACCTGCCTGGTTACCATTGTTTGAGGACGGCCTGCGTGCTTGGCTTGGCTAGTCTGTCTGTCTCCCTGGGGAGGGAGAAGCTGTCTGGTGCTTTTCTTTTGACATGGGAACTTCTGCATTTATCTAGCTGCCCTAGACTAGCCAGCTGTGTGATACTAAGGTACCTGGACATTTATATAGCTGCCCTAGACTATATGAAGGGTTACACAGTGTGTGTCAAGAGCCAGCTGTGTGATACTAAGGTACCTGGACATTTATATAGCTGCCCTAGACTATATGAAGGGTTACACAGTGTGTGTGTCAAGAGCCAGCTGTGTGATACTAAAAAATGCCCATCCCGCAGGATGATTTGCCATAAGGGGGCTAATCAGTAGCCTGCATTGGTGCCTTATGGGTGTAAGGAGCAGTGTCTGGAGTGTAGGACCAGGCCAGGCTCGCCCCTTCTCTCCTGGCTCGCCCCCTCGCTGGGGATTTGTGCTCTGGTGAACACCCCCTCCTCGGTCGAGAGCTTGTGTTTGGGGTCTTGTTTCTCGGCGACAAGACACCCACGTGAACTAGCGAACACACACACACACACACACACACACACACACACACACACACACACACACACACACACACACACACACACACACACACACACACACACACACACACGCGCGCGCGCGCGCATACACGCACGGCAGCTAGCCCAAGTTTCGCGTGCAAATCTAGTGACCAGATAAAGTAACATAGCTAATGCCACTAACGAATGTTACACTAAATTAAAACAAAATAAAAATCGAACAATGTTCACGAGGCGAGGGCACAGGCGGCGGGCTTCCTGGTGCCACAAGACGGTGTGCTGTTGTAACATGATCAATCAAGGATTAATCAGTGTGCAAGCCAGTCTGCAACGTAGGGAGAGCTCTGAGCAACTTGCACAGAGACCCCCCATCCCCCCTTGAATCACTCGCTAGCGATACTTATATATATATATATAATCAATGAAAAAAAAAATGGAGCAATGGGGTGACTCGAATCAGCGATCTGGGTGCTCTTAGACACGCACCAGTAGTCTTGGGAGCGCTTATAGATGCTCTGGGGATGCCCAGGTTGAATAACTTTTGTCACGTCGTGGTGCAGCGGGTAGAGGT